GTGATGATGCCCAAGAAAAAGCCAATGGGCGCAAACGCACTCCACAGGCTGAAGACGAGGTTTTTCCGCGGCCCCGGCCGGTACGTCTTGCCCAGCAGCATGATGCTCGTCGGCAAGAAGGCGGCGGGGCCCAGACCGCCCATGGCGCGGGCCACGATGAGCATCTGGTAGTTGACGCTGAAGCCCGAGATGAGGGCCCAGATGGAGAACCACACAAGCCCCGCGTTGAAGACGACGTAGGCGCCGTGGATGTCGGCAAGGCGGCCAAAGGGGAGGAGGAAGGAGCCCGTGACGAGGGAGAAGACGCTCGCGGGCCAGGTCTGGGAGTCCTTGGGGATGTCGAGGGCCTTGGAGACGTTGGGGAGGATGATGTTGAAGCCCGAGATGAAGAATTCCTGGAGGGGTCAACAACGTGTGCCCGTGTTTGATGGATTTGTGCTTGATGGATTTGTGCAGGGCAGGGAAGCAGGCGACTTACAGCCATGAACATGGAGACTAGTAGGGAGCTGCAGAACAGCACCTCATAGACGGCGTTGGGGAACACATCCGGCCTCTGACGACCGAGCTGGTCAAGGTCGATGCTCTCTGTCCTGCCATTGTCGTCGGACCCTGATGGGGGGGTTTCGACGTCTTTGCAAGCCATCGGGTTGGGGAGATGCTGTTGAGAGCAATGTTGATGTCGCCATTCCCGCCAATGGTCTAGACGGGAAACCGTCCCGTTTTAAGAATTCGAGGTTATCAAGAGAAATGATTAGTCACTAGTTTTTCCATTGAAAGGCGCGCCAAGATGGATGGCCTGTGGACCCGCAGCTGCAACTGTTGAAGATTTGGTGCCGTCCTGGGTTAGCGTGTCCCGTTAGACCCACAAGTCTATCACCCCATGCAATCTTTGTGGCCAAAAGAGGCAGCGTTTCGAATCAAGACGGAGCTCATCTGTGGCCAAGAATTGCTTCAACCGCCGTCATAGATAAGCAGCTGGGGCAGCCTGCAGCAGCTCCGAAACACCGATTTCTCCGTGTCTGAATCATCGTCCGAAGTGAACGGGTCTAGATTGGAGATTTCTAAGCCCACTCCATGCAGCCTTTGCTGTTTTGGTTCTACTTTGGGTTAGTCCGGGTGCGAGTGGCGGGGACTGGGAAACGCCACTTGGTCCAAGTTCCAGGGCCGTTCAGTTGCTCAAACTGAAGTTCGAACAAGCCCGACATTCCACACCCGACATCCCACATTCGACGCCGCCGCCCGCCTGGAATGAAGACGCTGTCTGAGCACCCGAGATCTCTATGCCAGGGCTCGGCGCACCGGTAGGCGCACCGTCCAAGGCCTGCCACAACTGCCGCCGCCGCCGACTCCGCTGCGACCGATCCTACCCGACCTGCCGCAAATGCTGGGCGTCCGGCGAGGAGTGTCTCGGCTATGGTACCCTCCTGCGGTGGGCCAATGCCCCGGCCGTCCGTGGGAAGCTTGTCGGGCAGCTGGTCGTAGAGAGCTCACGGAGCTCACCGGTAAAGCCGGCGTCGGTTGTCTTGGCTAAATCGCCAATCCACATCCATCTCTCGCTCCTCGATCCTCTCTTGAGTGATCTCAACCCCAGGGCTAGGCACTATGTCCACCACTGTAAGCAGACCGACGGCCCTTCTGAATCACGCCCTGTTTACTCACAAGACACAGTTGCCACTGCCGTGTGCCAGGACCTGGTCTCCTTCGACCAGCATGATCGCAATCCCTTCCGGGCCATCATCCCCCTGGCCGGGACATTTGACTTCCTTGAAGCGATTATCGTTGCAACAGGGGCCATGCACCTCACTGCACTGCACGGCTACCAAGACCAGCCGGGGAGACCAGAGCTGGTGGACGCCCTAGTGGCTAAAGACAAGGCCATCGGGCTGCTCCGAGCCGCCGTCGACAGAGTGACACCCGCAACCCAAGCTATGGTGCTCGCCGCGACTGTCTTCCTCATCAACCTCGACCTGATCGACTCGGGAAAGGGGGGGTGGCAGGTCCACATCGAAGCCGCTAGCACCCTCATGTCGTCGCTACACGACCCGGCTCACGAGCTGGATCAGTCACTGATGACTTGTGTCGACGCCATCGCCGCCGACTGCCTCACCTACCGCGTCCTCGGTTCCGCCATCAGCGGCGTGGCCCTGACATCCTGGGCCAAGCACGACTTGACCGAGTTCTTCTCTGTTCTGAAGCGGGCCGAGGCATCCAGTTACCACTGCTGCCCACCGGAAATCCTCCAGATACTCCTATCGGCGAGCAGGTTATGCAGTAACAGTACCGCTGGCCACGGTCAAGCCGAAGACGCCCTCTCTCTGCTTCATCACGCCCGCTCGTTGGACGTCTACGAATGGGTGCACAACATCCGCGGTCTCTCCGCCCAGGACGATCTAGACACGCGCGTCAACATTGCCCTTGCACACCGCGCAACCGCCTGCTTGTACGTCCTCCTCGCCATCCCGGAAGCAGCGCCCTTTGCGTCGTCGGTCGATTTGCTCGTCCAAGAAGTCCTCAGCCACTTGGCCGCCGTACCGGCCGACCACATCCTCCTGAAGGGTACGATATGGCCAACCTTTGTGGTTGGCGCACAGACAGACGACCCGGCACAGCGGGCCTGGTGCACCGAGCGGATGCAGGCTGTCTGGGCGAGGAATCCGTGGATTTGTCCGTGGGGTTACATCCGGACAGCAGTACAAATGATGCGGGATCTCTGGGAGGCGAGGGATCGGGAGCCTGTGGGGGCCGGCAAGAGGAATTGGTTGCTCGAGCTGAAGAGTATGCGGGATAAGTGTTTGATTGTGTGAGGGTCTAGGTCTCTGGGGTCTAAGCACTTGTCGTCCTGCATTTCTGTTCAACTCAACAACTTATTCCCAACTCTACTCCGACGAGGGCATTTCTGGGCAAGAGTCAAGGCAACTTTGGCTTACAGAAGACACCAAACTCCATTTCATGCTCCCTTCTTCGACCAACCCCTGAAGAGCCGAAGTTTCAAACGTGGTCGGGCATCAATCACATTGTCTTTCCCAAGAATTGTCGATCTGAGGCCTCATTCCTTGGTTCAAGTTGTTGTAAGGCTGACATGGAAAGGGGGCTGATGAGCTGTCACCTCGGCCAGCGGCTTCCCCGCATGTCACCGGACCTTGGCCCCAACTCTCGGTTCCCACTCCCGAGTTTAGTACGCTTCTTCAGCCAATTCCATCCCCCGTGTTGGCAAATTTGTGTCATCGGTCTTGAAACCGTCGTTGTTCAGCCGGTTCAGCAGGAGTCACAAGATGCTGTGGTGCCCTCGGGCTGAGAAAGCACAGCGTCTGTCAAGCCCCGGGCCCGTCCAACACCGGGAGGTTACTACGGGTTCCAACCTCTGTAGTATTGCACAAATCCGTCCGCGTATGACGAGCCGAACGGCTGTCGGCTTGCCGTCCCTCCATCACCTGATAGAGACAGCATTCGTCAACTGGTCTCTTGTCCTTCCGCCCCACCACCTCTCACCCCATCATTGGCCTGAAGCAGCCAGTGAGATGGCCACCGGTTGAGGTCGCTGCAGCTGTCCACATTCAAGCGGGAAATGGGACTTTCTGCGCTTTGCTTGTGCAGTCCTTCCCCGTCTTGATAGGCGTCGTAGTCCCGACGAACCATCCCACGCGCTATCTGCACCTCTAGCTCTCTGCAGCCCTGCCCCTATCAGCAGCAGCATGCACGCTCAAATTGGTCAATCAGAGGATTGTCGTCGGCACCCGCGATGCGCCGATGCCTGTCATCGAATGTCGCCCTGCAATCACCCCCTTCTGCAGAGCCGAATATGCATGCGCCGGCCCGGCGAGAGACAGCTTAAGAATGGGGGGGTACACCCGCTTGAAACACGGTGAGCCCGTGCCGGATCTTCTCATTCCCATCCTCTGCTTTCATGTGTCCCGATGACCCGGCCAGCCCCCAAGACACGTCCCATGACAGCCGCCACACAAACCCCCCTGAATAGCCCAGCAGCCTGAGAACTGTGCCTGATGTACATCCCACGCCCACCACCACCACCTCCCCCGGCTACCGACTCAGCGGTCGATGTCAGTACCCTCCCCACTACAAGGGCTCCAAATCAACCACCCACTAAAGCCGTGACAACTCCCACAGCCACACCAAACCACCTCCCACGATCCACACCACCCTCTCGATTCCAACCACAGCCATGACCCCAACCAACCGCCACCCCCTCCCACCCAAACCCACCATCACAATGCCCCGGCGGTGCTACAAGAAGAAGGCATTTGGAACACCACGTTGAAGTGGAACTCGAGACGCGACACAATGAGCGACCAAAACGTGACAATAGGCGTGACAGTCGGCGTGCTCCTGGCCGTGTTTCTAGCCGGCTTCTTCTATTTTGTCCATCGCTACCACCGGTCCATCCGCATTCGCCGGCGGAGGGGGGGCAGTCGCAGTGGTGGCGGCGGCGGCGGCGGCGGCAGAGGCAGCTCATTCAAGGGGTCGTTGAGGCAGGGGTCGCATTCTACTTCTGCTACCTCGGCCGAGGCGGAGGTTGCTGCTGCTGCTGCTGCTGCTGCTGCTGCTGCAGGTTGAGAGGGACATTGCTTCGAGTTCGATCCCGTGTAGACGTTGAGGTGAGAAGGTGGGGGGGTATAAGGCTGAGTGTCAACAAGGAGCGGTGGTTACTTCATCCGGTGCGATGTCGGTCTGTCTATCTAATAATGGTTGATGATCAAGGGCGGAGTCTATGGCGCTAGGGGTCCTTAGGAGTCATATTTTTTAGGAGTCATGGTTGAGGACAGCAGTAGTATCTTGTAAGACTTTCATTTTCTTGCATTCTCTAAGCACTATAACAGGATATCTCTAAATGTTAACTGTTTATTATCTCGGCCACCGTGGCACCCCTGTTACATCTATCTCCCTAGGTAGGCAAGGTCGCGAAATCCCTTTCTGCTCATCCAGACACACCCCAACAAAAGACTAACTGACAAAAGGATATTACCAACTCCTCTCTCTTTCTCTGCCCACAGCCAGAATCGAACTGACGACCTTGTCATGCTCTAGAGTTTACTAGTGACACGCTCTACCACTGAGCCATGCGGGCTTTTGTTGGTTAGAGAACGCGAGGGATATCGGTGGTGATGTGGTGGGGACGCGGGTGGAGGTTGTGGTCTAGGGCTGGTCCCTAAGCGGGTCTGGTGCTGTGACTCGACTCCGAGGCTAAATTGACAAGTGGGCCCCGACGGGGGCCGTGCCGGAAGGGTTGGCCGGCCGAGCAGGTTCCATTCTCTTTGCAGACGGGCGTGTTGAGGTTCAAGGTGAGGTTCCGAGAACTTGAGGCACAGGCCCAGACTCAACACGGAGAGGTCCGTCAGCGCCGTCACCGCTCCACGACCTCAGCCGGGCGACCACGGCGCAACTCCTGATCGCCTCTGCTCTGACGACCTCTGGGTAGTTCGTCAGGGCGGTATCGAGGTCGGCCACGCTCTTGCTCACGCCTCATCTTTTCCTCGCTCCGTGCTACCCCCCTGCTCCTCACTCTACCTTCATCCGCAATCTCTTCTCTCCTATGCCTCACCCTGCTCTTCTCTGATCTTCGTTCCCCCTTCTGCCTCCTCACCCGACCCTCCTCCTCTGTACGTTCCGGCCCCATAATATCCCTCTCCCTAACCTGCTCCGCCCGCCCTCCAGCAGCAGCTCTCGTCCTCTCCCTACCCTCCTCTCCCGCCGCCCGTTCCCGTTCCCTCGCCATCGCCCTCGCCCTCGCCCTTTCCTGCCTCCTTCTATCCGTCCCAACCTGCCCCCTCCCGGGCTCCAACCCCGGATGCAAATTCCTCATGTTGTGGATACTGGCCTGCATATTCGCAAGCGACCCGCTCAACCGCTTCTCGTCCGCCACCAACGCATCCCTGACGGCACAGTTGCGATGCGACGACGGCGCGGAGGAGGCCAGCCGCTTGATTGAGTCGGACGCACCCTGCAGCTCTTTTGTGACCGTCTCCAGAGCGGCGGACAGCTCGGGATCGGCGACGGTGGTGGTACCTTGCTGCTGCCTCCGCTGACCAGTGGTCCCGTCCCGGGTTGTTGTTGTTGTTGATGATGTGGCCGTCGCCTGCGCGGAAGAAGCAGCAGCAGCAGCAGCAGCAGCTTGTCGTTTGGCTTCCCGCCTGCGCCGGATGATGTGCCGGATGCCAAAGGCAAAGACGCCGACTGCGAGCTGGCTGATGAGCGAGTGCATGTCGCCGCTGTCGCTGCGGGGCGTGTCGCGGCTGGTGCCGCGTTTGCTTGTGGCAGAGGGTTCTCTGGTCTTGCTGCGGCTTGATTTCCGGTGGGAGCTCTTGGATCGGTGGTCGGATGGTTGTGTCTTTTGCTCGCTCATCTTTTTGAGCGAGTACGAGAGAACTGCACGGCCGAGTTGGTGCAGGATTTCGGGCGGCACTTTTGACTCGGAGCTTTTGTTGCCGCCGGAGGACCGTGGGGTTGGCGAGCCCGTGGCGGGCCGACGCGAGGAAGGCATCTTGGTTAGGCCTTTGGATGCCGTGGCTGAGGTTGGGTTACGCTGTTTCCCGGGTCCTTTGGATTCAAAATCGTGATGGGAATTGCTTTGTGTTGTGTTGTGATCGCAAGAAACGATGCGATGTGTGAGTTGGGAGTACTGTAGTAGGAATCGAGGTCTCCCGGCGAAGACCGGCGCGCTGGATTGCAGTCATGTTTTTATTCATTCCTCGTTCCTCTTGTCGCGTGGCATGGTTGACTCCCACGATGCGCGCGCGACCCGTGGGTGTGAGGTGTGACGGTTGTCGCAGCAGTCAGGTGCGTCGCGTGACCAGCTGATTGACACCACCACCACCAGTCCACCACCATCACAGGCGACTCCAAACCGACTACTGCTGCCTTTCGCGTCGTTGTTGGGCAGCTTGCTCCGAATCCCTGCACAAGTTAGCTCATGCCAAACTCTCAACAACCCAGGCCTCTCCTTCCTTGGTACCCAACCCAGCACTTACAGAATAGACAACTCAATCTCCCCCTTTATCTTGGCCTGGAGATTAATGTCGACATCGAGGTCCATGTCCAACCTGAGAGCAGGGGCACCTCCACGGTCATTGTGATGCCGAGGCGCCACGACCTCGCCCGGGCGTCGGCCGACCTGAGCATCCCCAGAAGGCGGCCGTTGGGCAAGCTGCCTATCGCGGCCGAGGCTCCGGGTCCTTGTGAGACTACTATTAGTAGTGCTCTGCTGCGCTGGTGCTGGCCCCTCCTCTGTCTGAGTCCCGGTGTCGGTAGTGACCGAGTCGCTTGCTCGCCGAGGCTCCATCTCATTTCGTTTTGGGGAGTGTTCGGCCATCTTCGGGGGGGTGGGTTGGGTTCCCGCGAGTTCTTGAAATGGTCAAAAAATGGGTGTTGATCGACAAAACGACCGTCTGGATGTCAAGTCTTTTAGGGCCTTATTATCGACCGATTATGATAATGGATTTGTTATGAAATGGGGGTATTGTGTCGTCGGACAAATCCGCCTTCTCGGAGAGGATCGACATTGGATAGATGTGGAGAGGTGGGGAGTTGTAGCCGTCGAGCATGACATCACTGCACGGGCTGACGTATGCTACTTTGACTCCCTAGGTTATGTAGGTAGGTAGGTAATATTCTGTACATACTAGGTAGGTAGTCTCTTCGGAGGTATATTCCAGGTTTATAGACTCCTTCATAATGCTGCTAGCGCCTTCTCAAAAAGCAAGGTTCGGGTTTGGCACAATGCCTGATGCGCTTCAAGAAGAGCTGGCGCTTCCGGTCCTAGGCATGGTACGTGGCAAGCGATATCGACGTGCAGTGGGACTTACCTTCAGACTAACGCACGACCCAGATGGTTGACACAAAGTCTGCATCGCTTCATGGCTACCCAGCCTACGGTCTTCACTCGACACACACGGTATGTTTTGGCTTGTCTTGACTGAATGAGAATATGAACTTGGCTGACAATTTCAGGATATGGGCAGGTTCTAGAACGCTGAAGACCAGGGCCACAAAGACGTGCTAGGGGAAATCTTGAGATGGACGAAAGGTGCTCGGGAAATGGCTACGGCGACTACGGTTCTTCAGGAAGGTATGAAATAATCCGTCCCATGGTGCGCGTCTCGTAATAGGATAGAGTACTTATGGCAAGCTCCGAGAGTAGAGTGTCTTCGGTCTCTGTACTTTACAGGGCTGTAATCCCGCGAGGAAGCTATCAAGGATCCTTTATCAGGCACATTTTCTTGGATTTGGCAGTCACCCGAGTCCACCTTTTCTAAGTGGCTGGACAAAGGCCATGGGATTTACTGGATCCAGGGTCGAGCGTCTTCCGGAAAGTCGACATTGATGAAGTACATTGAGCGCACTACTCTCTCAACAGACCGACTCATATATACGGATTCGATGAAACGGCCGATTATCATTTCGTATTTCATTGATGGCAAAAGCTAACATCCACTTGAATAGAGCCTAGAGGAATTGCGAGGACCTTTCTTTGGAAGCTATTACGCCAGGACAAACAGTTTTTCTACTTCGTTCTGCCCAAGTTCCTGGAAATGAAACGTCAGCGGCCTGCATCGGAATGGTTGCCAAGTGACCTCCGCGATCTACTCGCCTAAATATTATCGGAACAACGGTTCTGTCCTCTTTGGTTCTTCCTGGATGGCCTAGACGAGTACTCTGGCGACCTGCTGGATATTGCCGACGTTTGTAATATGATGGCGAGATCTGCCTCTCGACAAGTCCGAATATGCGTCACCAGTAGGCTAGACCAAGAGCTCGCTTGTACTATCAGCTCCTCCTTCGACGTCCATATTGTTGTATTGGAACTGGAGAGGTATACACGCGACGATATTACTTGTCTTGCAAGGCACGAAATGCGGCGGCTCTCCAACATCTTGCGTCCTGTGGAGCAGGCTGAGCTGGTCTCACAACTGTCGAGACGAGCAGATGGCCTGTTTATGTGGCTCAATCTCGCTAGTAGGGATATTGTGCGCAGCTGTATCCGGGGCGTCGATTATCCTACCTTGGTCGGGCGTCTTGATCATCTCCCCAAAGAGGTCAATGACTTGTATCATGAAATTCTTCAAAAGCGAACAACACAGCCATACAAGGGTGAAGGCCTCATGATTCTGGGGCTAGTTGTCTTTGGCAAAAGAAGCTTCTCTCTTCGAGAGTTTTCTTTCATCCTAGCAGGTGCCGCTAGCTTCAGAGAAAAGGATGTGGAGGGCTCAATGTCTCGGAAGATCGATTTTTATACTGGTGGTCTTGCCGATTGTCGTACCGGCCATGTTTTTGTCTCGCACGGAACGGTAGCGACTTTCGTTCAGACTATTTCCAACCAGGAACCTCGGCCAACATGTCTCTTCCAAGCTCAGCAAAAGCTGGCTCAGTCATGTCTGCTTTTGCTACGGACCTTCGACCAATCTCAAAATACCAGGAAACAGGGTTCCATAACCTCCGGCATCACAGAGAATGATTGGTTTCGGCTGCGAGGCTTGCGGAGCTACGCCGTACACCACTGGCTGGATCACCTGCATTCTTTGGTGCCTCAGCTAAACTCAGATCAACAGCATCCCCTGAACTTTAGACCGGTCACAAACCAGGAACTCACACATTGGCGCCAGCTCCACCTCGCAAGCTGTTGGGAGTATCCGACATTGATGGCAAAAGATGATAATCCGGTGAAAACATGCCTTGAATTCATGTTGTTCGAGGTAATACCACTCGAGGTATTCGCCCCGCCTCCACCGCACAACATGGTTCAGAAAAGAGACTCTGAAGCTGAGTCTCTTGGTTTGTTGTCACTGCTTCAACTCGAACATGCGGAACGATGGCGTTGGGAGTCCCCCGGTGCTGATCTTGATTTCTTGATCTCGATCGACTTTGCTCCGGGGCATAGTGTCTCATTTCACGCTCGCCAAATGCTGAAAAGCAAATCGGGAGAGGTCAGCTGCATTGCCTGCTCACCCATCAACTTCGAAGTTTACCTAGGTAACGCCCCCCCCCTCTCCCCCTCCCCCACCACCCCTTCCCAATCCCAAATCATCCATCATCCCGACTGAACTCTAAAAGTGGAACTCTAAATCATCATCC